TGCTAATTTAAGGTCCCATTTTTCTTTGCTTATATATAATCTATTGGTTCTCTCTTTACTGGTCAAATGATGCCAAAGTCCAAGGTGACAAAATGTGAGTGCTGTTGTTTGGTTTGGCTTGGGTCTCCTAAAGAATGTGTTAATAACTAACCAGAGGTATTATTTTTTATTTGTAGATATGTATGAAGTGTTTTAAAATCATGTATTTTTCTGCAAAAATACCCGCAAATTTGCGCAGCATCATGAAAATATCCAATTTTTATTGATGGGTTGGGTGTGTGTTATCCTTATTCAGAAATTGATTTGGCGATTTGTGGATATTTTTGTGGAAAAATACATGATAATAGGTGTCTTTTATTTTAGTTTATAAATATTTTAATTGGAATCAAAAATGCAGAGCAGATCTTTGCTGGGTGATTACAAGATTCTTATCAAGATGATAATATTTTGCTTAACTTAATCAATAATAATACTATTATTAATATATAATTACAAGAAGATGTCAAGGCAATACACTGTTGAAAAAGAAACAATCCAATATGAAAAATTTCAAGTATGAAACATTTCGATATGCAATGTTTGATTATCAGAAATTAGCAGACATTGAAGCATGCATGCTACCTTGAACACTTTACAGTCATTCTCACACATTCCTTGTGTACACAAGGCTAATCTGATCTGCTCTGCCCTATGGATATGATGATGCCTTCAATACCAGGGGGAGGCGCATGGCCCTGGAAGTTTATCAAGACTGCATCAATTGTCAATGATGCTTTCACTAATCTTCCCTCAGACCAGAGAAGGCTGCCATGTTAGCCAAAAATTTTACTGCAATGATCCTACCTCTAGGGTAAGGATGGCTCTGTGACCAAGTCACAACTCTGTTGATGAATTGTAGTGCCATGTAAACATCCAGATCCATCAAAGTAATGAGAATCTGCAGCTCATTTCAAGCACAGGAGGTCACAATTCAGAGCAGGGTTGGTGGCCCTGAAATTGCATTTGGGCTCTGATGTTAAGAGGAAAGTT